CCCCACCTGAGACATCTTAACCCCCCGCCCCCCAGAGAGGAATGGAACCGTGTAGAGAGATGGCAGCCCTCCACTCCAAGACTATATTTGTACTCTGCTTTGCCCTGAATGCTTGCCTCTAGAAGTACCAACAGAATGTGTGTCATCGATAAGACAAGATTTAAACATTCCCTTTTGAGTCCATTAGATAATTTTAAAGACACAATGGAACTAAATAGATTATAAATGTTACATACAAAGTTTCAATTCTTTTCTCCTTCCTTATAGGCAGATGGGGTTGGGCTATATATTCATAGAGATGCATATTTATCCCATTGGTAACTGCCAACTTCTCTAAGATGTGTTACTTCTAAAATGTAGATAGTACCTGCGTTCGTACAATATTGTCTTTCAGTCATATAGTATTATTTGATTTTTGAAAGTTCTGTACACATTTGTTTTCAGCAAGTTGAGGAGCAAGAAGCCAACAAATCTGAGCCAGAGGACGATGATGATGAAGTGGATGAGCTCCCTACATCAAGGTCCACCAGCGGTACATTCAGAGGAATGATCTTCCGCAAAGCCAGCCAGACTAGTGTATATTTGCAGGAATGGGATATACCCTTTGAACAAATTGAACTTGCAGATCTAATTGGTCAAGGAAGGTGGGGGAAAGTGTACAAAGGCAAGTGGCATGGAGAGGTAGCTATCCGGTTGTTGGAAATCGATGGAAATAACCAAGATCACCTGAAACTGTTCAAAAAGGAGGTGATGAACTACAGGCAGACGAGACATGAAAATGTTGTGCTCTTCATGGGGGCCTGCATGCACCCGCCACATTTGGCTATTATCACTAGGTGAGCGCCCTTCATTAAATTGTGCTAAACCATATACTATTTTCTGGTGAACTTTTTTTGTATATATTTCTTTTGTATGCTTTTTATTTAGTATATGAATATTTGTCATTTTTGACACAAGTCCATGACTAAATGAAAGTATAAATGAGCACCAAACTTTTGTTCTGATTGATAGAAGGTGAGCTATGCTGTTCGCACTTTGTACAGCATACATTTAGTATTTGCTCTGTATTATAAACAGATCCAACTGTAGGGGGATATATGATTCAGCCTATGTGCCAGTGAAGACCTGCTAGTGTAAATTGCTTCTTATGGCAGATGGCCTTTAAAGCCCAATATAACCCTTGTTATTTACTACTGATTGCATTACACTAATAAATCGTGAGGGTTCAAATGATCTGTAAAGTAGAAGTCCAGCCAAATAATTGATTTATTTAATTTATTTATTTTTTTGAAGTGGATGAGGTTTAGAAAGATTTCCCCTCACTTCTGAACTGAATTTAAAGCATTACCATGGGATTGCAGACACAGCTAAGTTAAAAATTAGTTGTCACCCCTTTTTATTTGCTACCAGGCTACTCTTCTCAGCTTTCTCCAGTTGTGCACACTCATAAAGCTTAGATTATTGCTGGGCCACCAGAAACGGGGAAAGGTTAGTATTTTACCAGGGGTAGAAGACTGTGCGATATGCATATCGCGCGTTTGTTGCGCGATTTGCATATTGCACGACATCGCGAGATTTGCCGCGCGATGTCGCGTTCAAGCTTGCATTGAGCAAGCTTGAATCGCGGCTAAATCCGCTCCAAAAAGGGTCCTGCTGTAGCGACACACGACCCGCGACAGCAGGACCCTTTGCCCCATTGGATTGCATTGGAGCGCGATATTGCGCGGTAATTTGCCGCGATATCACGGGAATTACCGCGCGATAAATCGCTCAATGTGAACGGGGTATGAATGTTGATTCTATCCCTAGGATTAGTTTATTTAAATATTACATAGCCCAGGGATGATCTGTACTTGAATTTTAAAGTCTGACGGTCTACAAAAACCAAAGTAATTTATCATGAAAGTAACGATAAAGACTATTCAGTAACAATATTTATTTTAGTTCTGAGTTGCTTATTTCTGAATCAAGTTTTTGATATTTTGTTTCAGCTATTGCAAAGGGAGGACATTGCATGCATTTGTAAGAGATCCCAAGACCTCCCTGGATATCAACAAAACACGACAAATTGCACAAGAAATCATCAAGGTAAGCAGGCTGTTTAAATATAAGTACGCCTTAGGGCAGTCGTCGGTAATCTACCTTCCGGTGCAGAGCCATCATTTAAAGGTATGTAAATGCTGCACAAAAGCCAGCAGGGCTGCGGATGGACATTGTGTAGTCCTTGAAATCTTCACTCCTATCCACTAGTAAAAAGTCTTGCTGACAAGTAGACCAGTTATATAAAATGGCCAATGTAGTAACCACTACCTGGTACAAATACAGATGCAGAAGAATACTTTAGTAACCACAGCCTGGTGAATATAAAATGTTAGTAAGGAGCTGGGGTAAATAAATCATAGGATACTCTTGAACCTGATGTATTGCACTGAGCCAAATGTTTTGGAAGGGAGGATGTGGACTCAGCACTATGTAAAGAATATCTGTCTTATAGAAAATAGGAATTTAGTGCTGTAATTTACCGAAACTTAGCTGTTTTGGTGGTTTCTGTTTTAGAATTCTGAATCTGCTGACCACCTGCTGCACGGACTGATTTTTTATACAGCACTAAATTCTGCCCAGGATCGTATTGTAGTTTTCAATCTACTATACTTATTTAACTAGCCATTCAACTATACCTGTAGTGATTTGCTTTACCAGTGCTCTTTAACCAGTGATATTGGTGGGAGAACAACAGAGTAATAAAGGCTAAGTTGCACGATTGAAAGGTGTGTTTTAAGGCCGCATTTTCAAATGTGCATCATGGTAACACATGTTTTTTCACATTACTGCAAGGCATGTTGGTAATATGGCTATATGTAATACGCATTACTGTGCCCCACAAAACTTACTGTATTTGCGAACACTGCATTGTGCTGTGCTGGATAAAATGCTGCAGGTGCTTTAACCACCCATTCAAAATGAATAGACTGTCTTAAAATAAATCTAAAGCCAATTTGTTTTTTTAATTTGTACAGAGTAGGAGAAGATCAAAACCACTGTAATTTTGTTTATCTTTGGCATCTGTGTCTTATTAGGGAGATTTCCCTTCACTTCCTGTCTGGTAGACCTAACAGGAAGTAAGAGGATATCTTGTCAATATGAAGTATACAGGTGAAACTCGAATAATTAGAATATCGTGCAAAAGTAATTGCAGTAAGTGCTGCAAAAGGGGCCCAAACCAAGTACTGAGTACATATGCATGCTTGTACTTTTCAGTGGTCCAATATTGTTCTATGTACAATCCTTGTTTTATTGATTGCATGTAATAATCTACTTTTTTGAGGTTGTGGATTTGGGGTTCTTGGGGTTTTCATGAGCTGTAAGCCATAATCATCACAATTATGACAAATCACAGCTTGAGTTATCTTGCTTTGCATGTAATGAGTCTATCTCGTATATTAGTTTCACCTTTTAAGTTGCATTAGTGAAATAAATGAACTTTTGCACGATATTCTAATTATTCGAGTTTCACCTGTAGCTCCACTGTGTTCTGACAGGAACAAGTCTACCCAGTGGAATATTTCCTCTCTACCTCTGTTCTAGTGCCAACTCACATTTGTTGGATTTATCCTCACTTTCATTCCCAGTCATATTAGGGATTTTGTACATGTAAATGGGAACAAATCACCAAATAAAGCAACACTTTCCAATATAAATGGGTACCTCCCATAGTCTATGTCTATTCACCTTTCACAATATATTCGAATTGTACATAGGTTAAATACTAAAAAGTGATCCCCAAACAAGTTATCTTCAGGTCATTCACAGTGGCTTAATTCGTCGTGTTTCAGAGTTCGCTTCTTCAGGATAGGAGGTATTCTATATTCTAGTACAGAAAATTGGATGAATAATAAATATTTGCACAATATAACATTCTTGTATATCATTCATAATTGATTCACTTACATAGTGTAAGCAAGGTGTGGATTAAGAGATAGAGACATTCCCAGTGTCGGAGGCCGCAGAGGGACAAGAAAGGTCACCGATCAGGGTGCCTCACTATCTAAATAAAGGTATTCAGTTGGAAACATCACCATTGAAGATAATATAAAGCACTAAAATTGTCACTTCTACTGTAAGGTATATTAAAAGCCTACCTGTTGGACAATCTTGTACATCACAGTACAATCACGAAAGGGGGGTATAAAATTACTGTGTCCCCATTTCTATATATGCATCCATAAATCCAATAGATAATCACTGCAGGCAAAACATCACATATGGTGGCTAATTAAATATTCCTCTACAACAATCAATCGTGTAATTGATTCAATCAAAAATAGTATATTTATGTATTTTTGATTTACATTGCGTTTTAATGCCTGTGGTTAGCACAATGTAAATGGGCCCCAAAAAATGAACAGATGTGGTAAAGATTTCTCCATGCTGACAAATCTCATGTGAAGTATTTCTTTACAATGATGCCTGAAAAAATATAAGTTGGATGTGTTGAAGGAATAATAATTGCACCAAATGTCTTTGCACTAAATAGGTCATTTTCTGCTCTTACCTATTGCCTGATTCATGTGTGTGGGAGGAATCGTGACAAAAGGCTATTTACTGTGGTTTATATTTTATGGACCCAATTCTATAGCAGTTGCTATGTAAATAGAGAAATTCTTGCCTGACAGGAAACTTGTGTCTAAGGAGTTTACAAAATAACACTACTATAATGATAATGGAACAGGCTTGAACATTGGACCTGAAAAATACACCTCAAAGTGTGTCCATAAACTGGATTGTCTTATGACCAACCATTATTTTCTCAAACCCATTCAACCAATTTTTTGCTCGATGTATGTGGTGGAAAGGCCACAGTGACACTTAAAAGAGAACTATGGGGGTCAGTGTTTTTCCCCATAGTTCTCCTTAGGGTAACGGGAGGACACAAACTAGCGTCCTCCCATTACCCTAAGCTCAATATACCGCGAGCTACAGCTCGCGGTATACTGAGACGCCGCAGCCGGAGCGGATCCCGACTTAGACGACGGGATCCGCCCAGCTGCGTGAGTGACAGCTGGCTCTGCCTATCCCGGTATGTGTTCGCTCACTTCCCGATCTACTAAGCCGACCTGTGACAGTCTCATTGTCACAGGTCGGCTAGAACTATGAGGTGAGTGAAAAGCACTCACCTCATAGTTCTCCTTCAACTTGGTTGTAAAAAAACGATTTGTAAGCTTTTTGGGTTTTTTCCCCTCTCTAGGTTCTATAATACTTCTTGCACATCATTAGTAGTTATCTTTTAGGTGAATGCATTCACCAGTGTTGGCCATAGTACTGCTGTAAATGTTCATAAGAAACTTATTTTGTCATTAAATATTGTGACATATCCTGGGTTAGAGGCAACATAGTTTTATGGGTAAGAGCAGCCTTTCTTAACCAGGGTTTTGTGTGGGGTTCCCCCTTAAAATCCACACCAGACCCCTATCAGGTATGGATTTTGGAGAGGCCACATGTAATTTTTTCCATTTAGATTTGTTTACATTGAAGGGCTCATTCATACAGTGGTGCACGCCCATAAAAAGACATGATCCTGAAAGGGACAAGTGCTATGTGCAATTGTGCGCAGCAGCCTGTTCTTCCCTATGGAAGAATGTAGCTGCATGCAATTATACACAATCACTGGCACACCTGAACCTACACATCCCTGCGGGTCTGGGTGCCCGCACTTGGACGCAGGTAGTGTGTATTCAAGTGCAGGCACCCGGACCCACATGGATGTGCAGTTTCGGGTGTGCATGTGACCGCCTGTAATTGCTAACATCCTTCCATAGGGAAGAACAGGCTGCTGCGTGCAATTCCATGCAACACCCATCCCTTCCGGGATTGGGTCTGTTTACAGGTGTGCATGCCTGTCTGAATGAGCCATTAGACTGGGGTGTCAAGGTTTTTTATACTTTTTAAAGGGTGCCTGGACTGAAAAAGGGTTGAGGAGCACTGTGTAAGAGAAATATGTTATAAGCCTGTACATTCACTGTACCCCTACCTGGCTATCTGTTATCTCCAGTAAATGTCAGCAGGGCTGATATGTCTAAAGATGTTTCCAAGCCTGTGACTGTCATCTCTTGCCTCCAGCAGCTGTATCGTAAAGGAAACTTGTCAGAAAGGGAACATGGAGTCTGCCATTTTTTCTTCTAAACATGCTAGTGGGCAGTACAGTGGCATAGTGGTTAGCACTTCTGCTTTGCAGCACTAGGGGGTCCCTGGCGTGAGTTTGCATGTTTTCCCTGTGCTTACATGGGTTTCCTCCGGGTGCTCCAAAGACATGCTGAAAGGTTAATTGGCTCCTGTCTAAATTGGCCCTCGTATATATGCATGTGATATAGGGACCCAAGATTGTAAGCTCCTTGAGGGCAGGGACTGATGTGAATGTGCAACTATGTAAGGCACTGTGTACATTGTCAGTGCTATATAAATAATAGTTGCCTGGAAGTCATTATGACCCTCTTCAGTACGTTAAATCACTGACCTGCAACAAGTGAGCAGATTAGGAGTGCTGACTTTTCTTTGACTTTGCTGATCTGCATCCTTGCTTCAGCTCAGCAGCTCAAAGTATGGATGTTACTGGGTTAGCAAAACAACTAATAATCCTAGTATTAATTAGCAGTGGTATATTGAAAACATTTTCTCTGTGTCCCTTATTAATTTTTTGTTCTTGTGAAAGCAACTACTTGTTTATCCCTAATCTTGTATTATTCTGTTAACTTTCAGGGGATGGGCTACCTGCATGCCAAAGGCATCGTCCACAAAGATTTGAAATCCAAGAATGTTTTCTATGAAAATGGAAAAGTAATAATCACAGACTTTGGCCTGTTTGGAATTTCAGGAGTTGTACAAGAGGGATGGTAAGAACTCCTCGACTGAAGAATTTTCAGTAAATGATCTAAAAGCCTTTTCATGTCCAAGAGTGGTCTTATATTCCGATCTTATATTCCTATTATTATAGAGCATCGCATGGTGAGACATGTGCCTACCGTGAAGCTTCACAGGTCCTATAGCAATTGCCTGTGTTTAGCAGATGTATAGTAGTGGAGCATTTGTTAACATTCCCTTCTCTTTCCTCATCAGAAATTGGGGAGTTTGACATGCACTGCCACAAGGATTTTCTAACAATTTGAAAGCACTCTATGTGCAATAGCAGACATTTTGAGAATATAATGGATTGTAATATCCCCTCAGGTAGGCTGATTATCCTTGCCAGTATTTGCTGGGATCAGCCTGATATTGGACAACTCTTGGTTTTGCATTGCTTTATTTTATTTCTCATTGGGTTACACAGTTATGTATGTATTTGGAGTAAAGTGTAACATACAACTTTAGGTGTGCTAGGAAAATCAAATACAAGTGTGAGCAACCTCAGCATTTCAGCTGTGGTGAAACTGCAAATCCCGTCATGCCTGTGGCTTTCAGAGTCTTGCAATGTCTCATGGAACTTCTAGTTACAGAGCACTTGGAGTGCCGTGGGGGCCTACCCCTGATCTAATATAATGTGACTCATCTCTTTAGCCCCTTTTGTGCTTTTCTAAAGCAGTCCTCTGTTTCCAGTCTTATTTGTCTTATCGGTCCAGCATTGTAAGCTCACTACAGTGTATTGTTAGTGTTTGTAAAGAGACAAAACAGTGGCACATGTGCTTGTTCTGGTGTACTTAATTTGTTTTGGGGTTTGTTTGTTTTTTGCCTGTACATACACTTTATATGTTTTTTATTTGTTTGAAGGCTACTACAAAGGGTGGGGCTCATCATAAACTGTTTAATTTGTTTCCTCTTGTAACTGTCTATATCATCTAACTGATATATTTGTAGGAAATGTTAAGAAATGTATTCATATTATTGTGACATGCGCTACTAAAATGCATTCTGTTTCACTCTGTTAGGCGTGAGAATGAGTTGAAGTTGAGCCATGACTGGCTATGTTTCCTGGCCCCAGAAATAGTACGTGAGATGGCTCCTGGGAAAGATGAAGATAAGCTCCCATTTTCTAAAGCTGCTGACGTTTATGCTTTTGGGTGAGGTTAAATGTTATGTGTGAGTCACATAAAGCTTGGTTTACTGTAGAGTGTCACAGGATTTTATTGACGTTGAGGAGTCACATGACAGTGATGTGTTGAAGCGTATCTAAACCTAAGACTAAAATTGTAAACTATTGCAGCTTACCAGGCTTTAGATCTTGTTGCAGCATTGGTTTCCTTTTTTTCTAGTTTTATTCCTTTATTTTCACCTGGTGGTCCTGCCAGTAATACTTCCAGTCCTAGGGTGACAATTTTCACTTGCCTTGTTCCATCCACATGGAAGCAGTGTTGCCCTAGGACAGGACTACAGAACACATTCCCCTTTCCTCATCTCCATATCATAGGTGAGAGGTGCTCTGAGGTTCACAGAGATAGCTGAGAACAATCTACAGTAACTTATAATGTAGTACAGGAAATTATCAGTTTCACTAATCAAACAAATATAACAAAAAGCTTTCTGTGGTATATGTGACGAAAAAGGAGCAAATACGTGAAGTTAATTTTGAGGGTTTACATACACATTAATCTTAGTTTTTGCTGTGCAATGGTTCTTTCTGTAGAACACAGCCAATTGTTCTTCCTGAATACATTTATTTCTCAGTTGCATGCCTACATCACCAGGTTACAATAATGATGTGTAGAATATGTACCATCTTTACAGCAGTCTCTTAAAGTGTATTTCCACTTTTGCAGTCAAATTTGAGAAAACCACTCTATATGTTTGTTATGTGTTCCCATTCACACAGCATAATGAAAAATATTTTTTTTCTCAATATTTCTTTTAGAAATACGTAGCTGATTCCAGGTTTTTCTCAGCACCTTTACAGTGATCTGTCCTTATAGAAAGACTTAGGACTGAAACGTGAGGATTGTGTTTCTCTCATTAACTTCATGAACATACAATGGAGTCTCCAGGGTTGTAATTCTTTAACCCTTCATGGCCCCTCCTAACATATCAAAGAAGGAAAAGCAAGTAGAAATTTTACCCCTTAACCAGCCAAGAAACCCTAACCCAAGTAAAAGCAATTTAAATTGCAAGAAGCATTTTAAAACATTTTTTGGGAACATGTAACAAATATAAAATAGGTGTTATCCCAATTTGGCTGCAAAAGTGGAAATATACTTTAAGAAAGTATAGACATTTATACAAATAGGGTTTAATAAAAGGTATACGTACTTAATGCAAGATATGCAGAGGTGTACAGAGTTGGAGGATAATCTGTACAGAAGAAAATCTAGTGAATCTAGCACCTACATACACATTGCACATCTGGTGGCATCAAACCAGATTTACATCCTAACAAAAATAAGTACTTATTGCAGACCTTGCACCTAAAATGCAAGGTCCAATTTTGAAGTGCCCCTTTACCCCTTTCTGGAAAACAAAATAAACATTAAAAAAAAACCTTTAGAGGAAAAAGGTTAGATAGTATACTTTTCCCCCAGCTTCCTACCGTAGCGCCTAGGTGAGCGTGATGTCATCCTCCTTCTGGCGAGATCTGAAGAATGTAAGGTACTCCAGATCTTGCTGAGAAAATACTCCCGGGAATGTGCTGCAGTTTTCTTCTTGCGGGATTTGAAGGAATTTAAACGGGAACATGATGACATCATCCCCTAAACTACAGAAAAGGGTAGTATATTATCTTTTTTGCCTACAGATGTTTTTCGAACTGATCACAAGGGGAGGAGGAGCACTTAAAAAAAATGTTGATTTTACTATCATCCAGTATCTGAATGGGGAGGAGCCTCTGTACAGAGTGCTTCTCCCATTGAGAAACTCATGAATGAACAGGAAGTAATGTAAATCACATCCTGTTCATTCATAACTGGGGACACATAGTACTATGTGTCCCCAGTTATTTCCAAACACTGGAGTGATCAGCTGATCGCTCCAGTGTTTGTCCTGCACAGAGGACCGGAACATATCTCTGATAAGCTCAGCCACGCACATGGGGGCTCAGCTTCTCCTCAGTGGGGGATCCGAGGAGAAGCGAAAGAAGCACTTCAGCCGTGGGGGCAGCGGAGGAGGGAGCCACCGTCGCAGAACTAAGGCCGATGTCCTGTTTTAGGGTAAATTGTAGTGTTTTATTACATATTTTCTATATAATGTTTGGGTCTTAAATGTAAACACCTTTAAAGTAGTATATTTCTGTATGCTGTTTAGTGTGGTTAATATTAAATATTGCATCTGATTGTTTCATATTTGCCATGTTTATGTAACAGGTCTCTAGAATCTGCTCACTGCGGTTTTACCTCGGTTATTTACAGTTCTGCTGTGTAAAAATAATAATAATAATAGTAGATTGATCCCCTGCTTTTTAGCTCACGTCAGAATTCACACACAGCTAATTGAGTAGGAGTAGGGACACTGCTCACCTCATTTCAAATTCAGTTAGAGAGAGACACTCTACAAGTGAGCAGCTGTCCCATTAGAAGACTTCCAAGACTCCTGGAAACAGTGTTATGGATGTACTTTTTATTGTTTGTTTTACAAATGTACATTTGTATCATGTTCAGTTGAAACATATTAATAAAATGAATGTGTTTTTTGTTTTTTTTAAACCCTAAAGAACTGTGTGGTATGAACTTCAGGCTCGAGATTGGCCTTTCAAAAGTCAAGCAGTTGAGGCTCTTATATGGCAAGTTGGAAGCGGTGAAGGTGTGAAGCAGCTGTTGTCCACTATAAGTCTGGGCAAGGAGGTTACTGTAAGTATTCTGTAAATAATGCAATCGCTGCACTTACAATAACTGTAAAAAGGAACACTTGCAAACAATTTAACAATAAGATAGTATTGCATTATGCTACAGACATTAGCGCTTGTGAACAACAAATATCAAAATGAAACTTAGACCCATAACAAGTAACAAAGTTTGAAGTTGATAAGGATAAACCCCAGAACTAAATTATCTAGGTCCCACTTATAGATTATTCCACCAAGATAAGCATGCCCATGCTATGAATAAATATACTCCAGCACGGTCCTCTTTTGTATGTAGCCTGTGTATTGAAGTTCAGCCACCACACCCATAAAATGGAATACAGACCCTCACTAGTGTTAATATATCCCAAAAGGTGGTCTAATAGCTCCCATCCAAATATGCTTGTCATAGGTGAGCAGTTCTCCAGCACCTCTTCAACTGATCGCTGATACTAAACTGACCCGGTCTCATGGTCTTACAGTTTACTTAGTCTTATTGGTCACTGCACTTGATTGGCACAGTCCACAAATTCTGCCCAAGAACATGGGATGCTTGCCTCAGCTGCAGCTGCCACCTACCAAACCTCCACCCAAATACAAACTTCCACTTGTATGTTAGCTTTGCTCCTCCCCTGACACACCTTACGGTGGTCATTGAGGCCACGCATCACATTGGTGAACAATTCATTAGGCACAGAAGGGGGTGGGACAAGCACCAACCTAAGATTGTGGGGCACTCTAGAAAGTAAATATTTAATGTTTTAAAACGGCAATGTGTGATGGCAATAACATTGTGATCTCATTTTACAGAGGCCAAACCAAGTACGCAATTGCTTTAATGTTTTAATATCCTTATTTTTTCTGAACGTTTATGTAGGAGATTCTTGCTGCATGCTGGGCCTATGATTTCAATGAAAGGCCAAGCTTTACCCTTCTTATGGACATGCTGGAAAAACTGCCAAAACTCAACCGGAGGTTGTCACATCCAGGTCACTTCTGGAAATCTGCAGAGTAAGTAGCTGGATACTTTATGCCTTTTAACAGCTTGGGCTCCAGGTTCACATGGGCATCCCATAGGAAACACTGTGCTAGATATATAACTGCTAGGTTTATCCATAGTGGCACTTTATACTGACACCTGAGAGAAGAGTAATTCTGAATGAATGGAGAAAATGTAGGTTCAAATGTAATGAGGCTTCTGGCTGTTAAACTTCACGTCATTTATTTTAATTGCTAAGCTATGGCTCTCAAAATAAACCTGGTATACACCTGGGCACTTAAAACAGAGTATAAGACAAAAAATGAAGACAGAACCTGAAGATGCCTTTATTGAAAATCAAATTTCAAAACAATCAGATGTCTCAGAAGCTAACTGATTAATGCCAATCTCCCCCTTCCCCCGTGTACTTTTTCCTTCTTTACTTTAGATTTTTTCATTGTATAATCAGCTTGAATTAAACCAGATATGGTTTGTTTTAAGGTGACTTTTATCAGCAAGAAATGTCCTGTAGGACATCATTATGGGAGGAGTATGTGCATGTATTGGCTGCCCAGACTTTCCTGCTGGATCTGTATTCATTTCGATTTTTTTTTTCAATAAAAATATCACATGACAACAGTATCAGTCTTTGTATATGCTTATTGTACAAGATTACTGTTGTCAGCCAAAACATCCAGAGGCTCTGATGAATTGCTTATTTATTGGATCTTGGTATATGCAAGGATTTGGTAATATGCAAGTATGGTCAAAGTGCATTATGCACCCAGGCTGTGTTAACATCTTTGCTGTGTATACATTATGAAAATATAGATGAAACAGGATTTGACAACATCGGTAACAGGAAGAGGATTATTCACTTTCTATGCAGGGCAATGTCTGGAAAGGTAATTAAAATTCTGGCACATGGAAAAAATAGAGAAAACATTGGACATAAGTGATGTAGTTCACCTGTATAAGTTACTTTTAAAGAAAACCTGACCTAAAAAAGCTTGCTGACCTCCTTCTGAAAGTGCTGATTGCCTGGCTTCTTAGTTTACCCTCAGAACATGTATGCAGAAAAGTCGTTCTGATTTCACTTAATGCAAGCACGTTCTGGGGCAGTAACTCAAAGCATTGATGCCATCAAGACCGCTAGCATTTTTTGGGACTGGCAGCATCACTGGGTGCAGGGCAGGTCATAGTAGTATTTGTGAAGATGCAGATACAGGAGATGCAATCACTGAAGAAGTCTACAGAAATTGTCAATTTTCAGATAATATATGTATACATTACATTTACCTCTATGGTGTCTATTACTAGATGTACTATTGCACAATCTCATTACACAGTTCACCCACTGCCTGCATGCACCCAGTCCTCTATACTGTAGTGCACCGTAAAGTTGGCAAATCCCCATTGACATCTTGGAGGCCAGCTTCAGACAGTGCAGGGAAAAGAAGCATGCTGGCAGCGGGAGAATGGCAGGAAGAGTCAAGATTTTGTGGCTCTAGTGAGGGACTCAATGGAGGCCAGTGAGACTTGCACATTACGCTTACGTGTTATTCCAAAGCTGTGGAATAACACTTCCTGGTGTTCTTTTTCAACTGATAGAAAAAATAGTTGTGTTCAGTTTATACAAAATGGTGCCTTAAAATGATCTAATTAAAGGAAGCCTGTTATGCACTTAGGAGTTGGAAGTGTATGAGGTGGGCAGTTGACAAGGCATGCAACTTCAAGTGACCCCTGATGCTCAAGTTGCAGTGTCAGGCTCAGGCTAAAGAAGCAGAGCTAAAAAAAAAATAGAGTGAATATAAATCCTAAGCTAAAATATTATTTCATAATCTTTATAACACAACATTTCTGTTATTAAAATAAATGTTTGCTTGCAACATTTCTTGACAGTTTTGTAAATGTATTAATAATCCTTTTGTTTTTACCTACCTTCACCTATGGAATATGTTGTTGATGGCCTCATCACTGCCATTCTTCTTTCCATTCTCCATGATCCTGCTGTGGGGCCTGGCACACCTTGGATATCTCTGCAATGATTTGTACTGCTGACCCTTCTTTATGCCTTCACGCGACTTCATTTCCTTCTGCACCTCAATCTTTCCGCATTTGTTATGTATTTTACTTTTCTTGGACAATTCTAAAGACACTGGCATAATTTTTACAAAAAGGACCAATTCTACCAGCATGACGTTCACATTCACTGCCCAGTAGCTAACAAATAAACTGTCTGGTTCATTCTATAATAAACCAGCATTCCACAATGTTTTATAGTACTGAAATTATTAAATTGCTAAGTCCCTAGATCATTTACCATTCTTTAATGGTAAATAGCAATGATACAGGGTCATCTCTTATTGACATACTGAGTTGCCGTTATAAAAATGTACATACGTGTTGAACAAACCAACACGTTTCAATATAGTGCTTATTACAGGATACCACTACCTTTTATATATTACTTAGTACCATTTAGTATATGGAAACGCTGCCAGAAGTAACCTTGACCTGCCAGCTTATTCCCAGAAAATATTGTGTATCCATCATAACTGTTTAATAGCAAAGAATTCCCAGACTCAATGAGTGACAAGAATGAGGAATGCTTACCTTTTTTATATAAACTCACCAACCAGTACATTCACAAGTTATATCATGTATATGAAGGGTACAGTTCCGGTCTAAGATTGTTATATGTAAATTAGGTATTTTTAAAGTTTTGCTCTATTGTTATTGGTTCTTTGTAGTACCTGAAGAATTTAGTGCACGATCACCGTCACTACAGTGCAGAACAGCCAGGACAGGATGCTTAAAGTGTCTGTAAACCCAAAATACAAATATGCACCATTGACTTTCAATAATGTTGCTCAATGTAACTGTTCCATTTGTGTTTTCAGAATATATTTAAAGGCTTGTTCCCACCAGCCCCATTGGGTTGTGTTGGATAGCATTGCCCAACACAATCTCAATGCAAAAACAAGGCAAAATGATTTGCCTTGCCTGCAGGCATCATTTTATCACAGCGCATTGCAGTGTGTCATAATGTGCACGGCAGCACACATGTGTTATGCGTTGCCATGCAGCGTGGAACCAGCTCTAAACCTAAACCAGCCCTAAATGTATGAAATACTTGTAGATCCTGCCTGTTTGTTGAAAATCCTGTACCACTGCTATCTGCATTATCACACACTCCCATCCGTTAAATTAAGGAAACCGTGCCAATGCAGGGCGTGCTCTCCCCACTCGGTTCCTGCAGTACACAACAGCCTGAGGGGCTTTCTAGGAGCATGACGAACAGTAGCTCCTGCATGGAGTCTCACTGTCAACATAGAGCACAGCAATCCAGCTATGTGCAGTCTCTACCACACGTGACATGCTGCTGCTTAGTACTCAAAAATGTCACTGATGGAAACCTTAAGCGCTCTTAAATAAATGCACTAAGCAGCTAGCACTTTAAATGTATATATAATTTTATATATTCCGGTTTAGTACTGCCCACTGCCTCAAGCCTTGCAGATTAGAAGAGCTGGATTGCGGTCACGCAAACTTTCAAAATAAGATTGAATATTACAAGATTGGGGTTTTTTTTTTTAAAGTAGAACTGCATGTTTGTTTTCCATAACATAAAACTAGGAATGAGCTTGGGTTCAGGCCATATTAGGTTAATGTCATTGACCAAATATTGCCATTTAAGGTCAATGAAATCATCAGCATCCCGCCCCTTTGTTTACGTTCAGCTGCAGGGCGGGGAATGCCTTGCCTGCAGCTGATTGGCCCAACACTGACAGTTTCCTTCTGGGTTTTGATGTGCTCGGATTTGGTCCGAACTTAGGTTATCCTTACATAAAACTCAGAGAGTAGCTTAGGGTATGCAGACACTTTAAGCCTAACAAATAATACAGTTCTGTTGACCGCAGCTATGATAGTCAGCTGTTCGTTGGTGTCACAAGTATAACGTTGGTTACTTAGAGACCCAGTTAGTGTACTCTTGGCTATCCCCAATGGATTTATTTCCCAATATACTTCTTTACCTGACAATTGGAAACCCCAAAACAGCTTCTGCAGTGAAATAGGATTATGGCTCACAGCTTGTAACCTGAATGTTTGCCATGCTACCTGGTTGTCTTTTCCTTACATTGTAAAGCGCTGCGCAAACTGTTGGCGCTATATAAATACTATGTAATAATAATAATCAGCTGGTGTTTATTTACAGCTTTAATAATTTGTATGACTATTTGTTCTATGTAGGTGAGGTGACTTTTGTTTTTAGAAGACAGTCATCCTCCTCTTATTGTTTCTAAAAATAAATTGCCACCTTTCATAGCGACTTGTAATTTATGACCTTACTAATATGGGCATCTTCCCTAATCATCCTGTATTACTAATGACTATACCACAATGATTATTGTTGATTAACTATGTTTTCTCCTCCTCATAGGTTATAGCTGCTGGCAATTTAACTGGTTCTGCCTTGCATGCTTCCATGCGTGTTCTGCTAATCTACAGCTTCATGGATACTTACCTTACATCTACAAAACAAATAATCACCAATATTAGAAAACCTTTTTAACCCTTGGATGTTTCTGCTGCTTTGATCTTTTCCCATCCGCTATTCTCTTGGTGTAGGCTGTTTGCTTGAATAACCAGTTTTGACTGCAAGAAACTACTTGACACTAATCGTAGGATACCAGCTATGTATCTGGTTTCACAAGCACCACGGGCCAGCAGTAACTTTTCCTAAAACAGGGTTACCAGCATTTTAGTGAAATCATTGCACTGAGTGCTTTTCTTCTGTGTCCTTCTAACAAGCACTTTTGCAGCTTTTATGTATGTATGTATGTATGTGTGTATTTTTAAGATTGTCCATCAAATGACAGCACTTCACAGTTTGCACAATCATCTCACATTGTCTTGCAATATATGAACAGTATGTCCTTTTAAAGTGGAGAAAATAGACCTAAAAGTCGAAGTTTTTTTATATCTAAATTTAAATTGAAAGGAGAAAATTTGGGTTGCTGAGAAACCATACCTCCACCACTGCTCCTATTCCTTTTTATACTTTAAAGTGATACCTGATTTTAAGAAGGGTGCCGTTGATTTTTAAAAGAATGTCTCTATTTTTCTCAGCAATATTCAAAATATTAAACGTGATACTGCCTGTACACAATAATAGGAAGTTACAAGATGCAGTCTACTGATATTTTTACAATCCTCCAGTCTCTTGGGACTTTCCATTCAACATCAAGCTTCTTTACCCAGAGTATATTATAAGTCAGACATTGGCAGAACGTAGGCAGCCCTGAGTGGACAAGCTGCAGTATTCAGCACCCTGCAGGCAGCGGGCTTGTTTTCTAATTCTTCCAAGAGCTTTAGCTTGAATAATGCATGCTGCATCAATTTGTTAAAACGATACGTTATCAAGTCTAAAGAAATTATTTCCTTACCTCCTTGCTTGAGGAGGGAGCTTTATTGGCAAATGGAGTTCGCCTTGACCAGCAAGATTCCACCATCTTTTGCTAGTACACGTTACAAGTATATAATAGAAAGCAATACATTCATAGATAGATGTATCTGCTGTAACGGTGCAAACAAATAATTAAAAATGAAAAGCTTTTATAGTTTCCTGACTCTTCTACAGAGATTAGGCTCAATTCAGATTATTTTAACTCCACTTCTTGTTTTATACCATTAAGAAATTCTCCTAATTAGGTTTATTTTACAAGCATAAATATAACTTTATAATAATCCTTATTTTTTTCAAAGGAAATGGGCATTCAGCTGTTAAAAGCCTTTTTTCCATAAATTTTTTTATTACTACATCAGATAGTTCCTATTCCTGCTCTTCCCAATCGACACCTACTGAAACTTCCAGTTATCACCAGCCTGAAGTTCAGGCTTTATGCACAAGAGCTTCAGCTTGTATGAGAGCAATGTGTAAAGCAAGCTTTTGGCATGCTCCAAGCGGCTTTGTTGAAGCCTTTAAAGTACCCTTCAGCTCCAGTTTGGGATTGTTTAGGAATTCCACTTTAGCACTTTCGCTGCCACCAATGTAACGCTTACATCAGTGGTAGCGTGGGCTTTTATAGCAGCCAGGACTGGAATCCTGCCCCCAGAGGCGTAACTAGAAACCTCAGGGCCCTGGTGCAAGAAACTGAGGGGTCCCCCCATGGTGATGGTGGGGGGACCCCTTTATAGTTTCTGTGCTGAGGAGAGTTGGCATGCTGCATGCTGGGATCTATAGTCCTAGGAAGCAAAGCCACTCCCTCAGTGGTTAGTGGGGCCCTCTTTCTCCTGCCCGGGCCCGCCTAAGTGCTGGAACTACCAAAGTCACTATGGCGACTGGGCCCTGGAGTGCTGCCACTTGGGGTGACCCAAACAGGAGGAAGAAGCCCGTTGACCACCAAGGTTCCAACGTTGCTTCCTGGGACTACAGTTCCCAGCAGGCTGACACTTTGCAGCTCTTTCCCATGGTGGTTGGTATGGGGGGGGTTAGTGTAGGTGGGGCAGATTGCGTGGGGGGTAGGGGTCATACAACAGACAGCTGACTATTAAAGGTGGAGGGGTTGGGGGTTGCTCAATGGGTAGAACACACAGTATGGAGGGGGACAAGAGACATTGGTAAGTGATGGAGGGGTAATAAGGATAACATAGTTGATACCCTCGGTACCTGCAGCTCTCCATCCTCTGGTTCTCTGTCTCTCTAGCTTACTGATTATTGCACCTCTCTCTCTCTAGATGCTACCCAGTTGGTATATTGCAGCTCCCTCGCCGTATTGCCTGCTTGGAATGTAGTACTCTGGCCAGCAGCACACAACCCCCCCTTCCCCCACCGTCTGCCAAACTCCGGAGTTCCATGAACACTGCAGGCGGCATGTTTCTCCTGTGTTTTTAAAATCAAACCAACTCTTCTGCATGTAGACTAATGAGCGGCGACCTGAGGTGAGTGTCGGCCAATGAGCGGCAGCCTGGAGTTGGAGCGGGTGACGTCACTGCTGGGTTTGTGCCTTGCAGTATGTGAACGTTGCATCAGGGTTCGGTGTGGATGGAGGCGGAGGGCAGCATTCAGGGTTTACCCCGACCCTTCTGCACAGAGCTGCCTCTTCTTCCTCTCTGGGCCCCCCCAACTGGCGGAACGCCAGGGTGACCGCTGCGACCCTGGTATTTCCGCCAGTGCCTGTCCAGTGCTAAGCTTCTGAACCACTCCTATCATATTCTTATCCATAGCATAGGGACTAATTGTAGTCCTAAGATGAGAACTAGAGGGCTAAGTAGTCTTTTTGAGAGAACACAAACTATGCAGAAGATACTGGACAGCTTGGGATTTCTGGCAAGATCGACAGAGTACTTATTAAACAAATATATCAAAACACTTTCAATGGTATATTTAACAGACCAAAAAGGAGCAAGTAAGAAAAGTTTCTTGTTATGGTTTACATACCCTTTAAGATCTTTTGACATTCCTAAACTGGAGCTGAAGAGTACTTTACAGGCTTCAAGAAAGTTGCTCGAAGCTTGCCAAATGCTTTGAAAATGCTTGCCAAAGCTTGCTTTACACACTGCTTTCATACAAGTTGAAGTTAATGTGGACAAGGCTCAAGGGGGTAATAGTGAGCAGTAAACGTTGTGAATTGACCTTTTATGTTGATTTTATCATAATGGCAGTGTCTATTAATGAAATTATAACACGGACAATATTATAATGGCATTAGAAGTGGTAAGCACAAGTAGCCAAAATTAAGCTCGTTCTGCACCTTTGTGAATTTAGCCTTTAGATATACAAGTTCTAAGGGCTATGTTAGGCGGGAAGATTATGAATTAAGTAATTTTACAGTGATTTGTAGCTGATCCGCTCGTTGTTTGGTCAACGCAGCAATTCAAGTTAGTAGCAAGGTCACCATTGACAGCCACTCTGCATTAACCTCTTTATTGCAATGCTCTCCTTTGGTGATTAGTAGCCAAGCCAAATAGCATTCATCGCTAGCCACAAATCACTGCTAATTGCTGGCAAGGAATTGCTGCTACAAAATTACCCACCTGACATCACTCTAAGGAGCAAAATAAAGACTAAACAGTATGCGCTTGTATTTTTTACCTGAGCAGCCTTGCACTCAACAGGTCTTTATTGGTTCTCCTTGATGGAAAACATTGCTCAACTTCTCGAAAGAACTTCTAATAGCATTTACTGGAAAAAAAAAGCTGTGAGTTTTTATAGGTTTAACAAATAGCTGTTGTTACAGGAATATTGTTATATAAGTCAGGGAACAAGAGGGAGATAATCCTATCAAAGGATACTGTAGTCATCCTTCTGTCCACCTTTCCTTAGTATGAAATTGATAGCATAAAAAAAAATGTTGCTCTCAACTAAACATAACGTGTTGACACCTTATAAAGTTTCAGCTTCTGCTGAGGTATAGCTAATGTAATTATGCAAGTATTCATTATCTTAGTTTCTAATTGTCTCTTAGTTTTAGTTTGCCATCAACTAAGGGTCATCAGTTAAACGTTTGCAACTTCCACTTTTGAGCAGATACAAACTGCAACCCACAGTCTCGTAATTAATGTAGAACGGAAAAAGGGAACTTTAAGACACCTGATTCTGCTGCAATAGTCAGCTCTATGGAAGTTGTGACATATCCATGGCCCTAAGTGACGGAACCATAAAGAATACAATAGCAGGAAATCTTGTAACAAGACTCTGGTATAAGCTGTAAGGGAGAATTAAATATGTTCCATATATCTGCTATGGCTACCAAATTTTGTAACTGGCTTTTGTTGGACAATCTTGCACCCATGATTGATTATAATAATTATAAATGAAGTGCAACTTGAAATGTTTTTGTTAACTTTTGTCTAACATAGATGTGTTTGTTTTGTTCCCCTTCTTTCAGCATTAACAGTAGCAAAAGTATTCCCCGTTTTGAAAGGTTTGGCCTTGGAGTCTTGGAGCAGGGTAACCAAAAGATCTAGTCCGCTGAGCCATATCTCAGTGCCATGTTCATGGTTAGTTCTGTACCCACCGTCAGAGGTTCACATTGCAGCCAGTGATAACTCCCTCTATTGGATTTATTCTCTCTGTTTTACTGAATTTATATTAACCCATTCTGCACTGAAAAGGAGCGATGCAGTGCCTTGCCTACCCCTTCCAGCGCTGAATGGATTAAGCCTTAACTCTACTTGTTGTGTTTGTTGTTTACATATGATTTTTAGGCATGTGAGTTGTATTGTTGGTGAAAATGATTAAATGTGACTGACTTTTTTTTTAGTTTTTCTTTTTATCAGCTGTACTATTGTTTGAAAACCCTTTATTAGTAGTGTTATAAGATATAATATATTTAAATTGTACTTTATTCCTAAGCCATAATGGACTAATGAGAGGCAATATCTAAATGTGACAAATTCTGCCTAAAAAGTATCTATCCGTATAAGAAATAACATTTAAACAGGGTTATTTACTGAAACAAAGTATAATTCATGACTGTGATTGTTCTTAAAGAACCAGGCTTTCATATGCAAACTGTGATGCTTGCCACAAAAAAAAACCACAAGGATACAGGCTTTATTTCTGGCCTGGGACTTATAAATGTATTAGAGCTTGAAGATTTTCTAGAAAAGAAATGACATTTGCTGATAATTTTGGTAGCTGTGTTAGAAAATATCTTCATCTCAGCCTGCAAAAAAAAAAGATTTTTAGTGTTCTCTAGACCTGACTGCTCTGTATGCCTGCTAGGGCATGAAATGTGTCAGAAGAAAGTTCTTGAGCCAACATACAACCTTAACAGGTTGCTAGAAATCCTCTCTGTCCTGTACATATTCTCGAATCAATTACTTAAAAGTGATGTTGTATAAAGGGTTAAATGCTCATTTTTGTCTAGAGGAAACATAAAAAGCTGTTATTTTTACCCTATCCCTCACTCCCCGGCAGCCTGTAGTCTTCTTTCTCCAATGCTCTGGGTTGTGGACAAGCTCTCAGCACCCTCATCAGCAACACAGGACTGCTGGCCCTCCATCATACATGGTGGCATCAGAATTCCTGCAGCTGAAGAAGTAGTGAAGAGAAGCTGCTTCTGAGGACCAGTTGTGCCGCTAAAGGGAAGCCTACAGGAGTGAGGGATAAGGTGAGTATACTTGGTTTTATGTTTTCCCCGGGCAAAATCCACTACAAGGGTCACTTTTTTCTTTTCTTCCTGGACTTCAATTTAAAATGCTTGTTCTGGCTTTTCAGATTGAAATAGCTACCATACTAACTATATACGAAGGGGGGCTAATTATAACATGCAAAACCAACAGCATTCCCCCTCAAGCTTTATAGATATGTTTTTATACCGGATTTCATTTAGGTTTACTTTATGCTTCATGTAAATATATGGTTACAGAGGAGGGACAGGGAAAGTAGAAGAATATCTGTTACCTGTTTATCCAGGGAGACATATCCGAAGAGGCCAATTGGTCCAATTGTTCTCCCCCCCCCCAGGAAAAGTCAGCCAGAGGGTTTTGCAGAAGTTGTGGAGTGCATTTAGATATACAGTAACTTTTCCATTTTACAATAGTGGGTGCTTAGCTGGCCTTACATTCTTGGAATTTCTCATGTTCAGCCCCATGGGCTGAACAAGTACAATCCAAGGAGTCCTCCCTCCCTGCTGCCAGCTATTAGATTTAGCAGCCACTGCTGTAGTAGCTGCTGAATACCCAGAGAGTGCCTGCATCTGAATGAATACAGACTCTGTTCAGCCCAAATTTTCTGGACCAGCTCCTTCGAGCAAAGTCGATAGAGAAATCAACTTTTGTCATCAGAAGGGGTGTAGGTAGATATATGCTTGAAAAGGGTTAATACTTACCGGTGTCTTCCCCGCAGGCTCCCGTCCGAAAATGTGAAAATTCTCGGGCGGCCGCAAAGCATCTTGGGGCGGGCGCATGCGCAGTTCACATTTTCGGCCGGGACGCGAGGAGAGACACAAGGTAAATCCACGGACACGTGCACCCGCATGCAGACAACGTGGGACAGGAAGTGCCAGCAAGCTCAGGGATCAGCCGCACCGCTGGAGAGACAGATGAAAAGGACAGGAAAGAAGATCGGATTAAGAGACATCATTTAAGGTAAGTGCTGACATTAACATTGGGGGGAGGGAAAAAGATTTTTGACTTTTTAATGTCACTATAAGTGTAACTAAAGTTTCATATTTAAAAAATGCGAGCAGGCAGGCTCTTCAATGTTATGCAATATAGGGGGTAAGTGTGCAAAAATAGGGATTTTCAATGGTGCTTTAAAAAACATCTTTATTGCTCTTAAAGGACTCTGTTTTTTTAAAAGATGTGAAATATTATGTCCGAATTAGAACTCTAGATACGTTTTTATCCAACTTCACACATTTCAGTTTGAAGAGGATACTCTTAATATGCAGATTTCATACTGGTGCTTAAGGGCTTGTTTATACACGTTGAGTTGTCATGCATTTTATTTAAGAAGGGGGAAAAATGCAAGGCATAGACATAAGATAATTATTTATAGTAGAGCCCATGTGTATATAAAGTGTTTTTCCATGCAAGTTAGTAGAATGTCCTTTAAAAAATGCTGCAGGATATATCAATGCATGGCCTATCAAAATAATCAACATAATATAAACGAGTTGTAAACTGGGTAGATCTAGAGATTTTCTCCATTGAGATTTGCTAAGCCTAGGGGGAACAGGAATTTTATAGACTACAAAATATTGTTCAACAGCGTGACATTTTTTTCACGCTACTTTCACATACTTCTAGGTGCTCATATAGCAAATATGTAGGCAAGGTTATAGGCTTGTTAAAAATAAAACCATTGACTTTAAAGGAGTTGTCTTGTTTGTTGAGTTTACAGGTTTGTGAATGATTACCTAGATTTTATCTATGGTTTGAGCTCTTACTTTTGGTCCTAAATGCGGGGCTTCAAACTGCATATTTAAAGTGAATCTGTTATGGCCTCAAACATTTCTAAGGTAACAATATAAGATGAGATACCTTAGAGAACATTCAAACTGATCCCCGTGGCCCTACGGAGCCCATTGACTTCTCAGGCCCAGGGAGTCGTGACTTCTGTCCAAAATTTGATTAGGCACCGCCTTCTCCTTTTACTAAGCGTTACCCCCCATAAGACTGATGTCAGACTAACAATCCTGTAGTGTTGTAGTAGATCACCTGTGGTAGATCACCTGCACTCCATACAGTGTTATAACCTGGCACAATAGTAGTGCTCGCAGTGATGGATGGCGCCGTGTAATCTTTTATCTAATACTTTGAGACTAACCATCCTGTCGCTGGTGGCAACTTGTCAGAAACAGGATCACTAGGTTGAACATTCACCTGCTTCTACGTAGTTGGGTTTTTTTTCACTGGCCAAAATAATAGAGACTCTCACTTACCAGCAAGGCAGCAGTGTCTCTAGTGCTCACTTGTATTTGACAGTAGAATGGCATACATAATGCTTAAAGAAGACCTAAACCCAAACACTAATCGCGTATAAATTTTTACATGTTCGTATAATTTGAAACGTTTTTATATATTTTGTTTCAATATTTTTTCAATATTTTTCATAGAGTTTTCAATAATTTAATACCTTGTAATTGTACCATGAAGGTCCTTGCTCAGGCACTTGCTGCTATGGGGTGAAAACCCTCTGTCCCTGTCTCCTAATTGCTCTCCTGTGTTGTCACCCATCCCACACGCTTGCATTGTAGACTATAAGCGGTTGTGGCAACACTCAATGTGCGGACATTTTCTATCACTATTAGGAAGCCGTCCAGAGCAATGATGTGTAGCTGGCACTGGGGAGCATGCATGTAGACAGGAAGTGGCTGCAATGAGGTTGGAGAATAATAGTCGCAATAAAATAAAGGTAAAAACAGAAGTTTTCAAAAAAATAGGTGTATGATACACAGTGCTTTAGCAAATTAAATTTCATCCAGTTAGGGTTTAGATTGTTTTAATTTTGACTTTGGAAGCAGTTGAGGCGTCTTGTACCGTTGGTACCTAGGATCCAATTAACCCTTATTTATGTTAAACTTGCAAAACAAAACCAGTAATACATTTAGCAATATAGAAATGAATTCCCTACTTACCCTTTCAGAACTTCAGAACTACACTGCCACATATGATATAAAAGAAAATGAATGTACGTTACAAAATTGGTACTTGTTTCAGTACAGATTTGAAGGATCTCTTACAATGCAGAATCAAAAATAAATATATAGCTATAGATCTATAGATATACAATGTTTAGGTACATGCTCCCTCCCCTATGAAATGCTATTGCCTTGGGCTACAGAAAACATACAGCAAACATTTGTTTTAGTATTGCCTTTTATAGATCTAGAATGTGAATCATAAAATGGTACACCAGATGGAACTTTTTTTTTTTTTTTATAGGCAGACTTTATTTGCGCTTCTGCCCTCAGATGCGTGGAATCGAGTAGTAACCATATGATTTTACTGAAAGTTTTTGCCCACTCATAAGTTAAACATTGAATTTGATGTTCACACATATCGTTTGTTTGGCAGTTTACTACGTTGTAAATATTATGCAGCTGTAGCTTTAGCTGCCTTATTATTATATGAGTTTCTTAACATTCTTAAAGTATATGGCCTTTTATGCATTTTAGATGTTTGCTGCATACTCCATATTTTAGCTAAAGTGACCCCTATATTCTGCACTCTTCTTGACAATCCGCTCTTATTGTAGACTTTAATATGTTTAATTAAAATAAAATTCTAATGTACTTTTAAAAAAAAGAAGCGGGAAGTATAAAAAAAAACAGTCCCTTGTTTTCAGCAAAGCTTCCGTCAGTGTCTATTTTGAGTTACCAGTACTTGTTCCCTAATACCCCCCCACCCTATTGTTCCGAATGACGGTCCTTTTTTAAAACATTTTTTACTTTTAGGAGATTACATAAGTGGGTTTTGAACTTCCTCCATGTAAACCTCTGATGTATAGATCAAGGGGAAGTCGATGACATAGTTACCATGTGTTTGACCTTTTCCATACCTCAAAAGCATTAAGGGGAATGAGATCTCTTATTTGCATGACACTTTTTTTATGCAAGTCATAAAGGAATTCCCTTTGCAAACACAACATTTAGCTGCATTTGGATTATTGGCTTTTCAGCGTGTGATTTACTGTTTTCCATTGAGCAAGATCATTTGTAAAAGTGGACTTTGATTGAAGGTTGAGGATACTGGTTGCTTTTAACTTTTTGCAGAGTATGGTGTGCTTGTTTATATAACTAGGTGGCAGTTCATATTGCTTCTCTTATTTTTATAGAACCTTTAGTTCTTCTTTTTTCTTTTTTTATTATTATTTATTATTTCACTCAACCTCATAGTTCGAGCCGACGAGTGACAATGAAACTGTCACACGACGGCTCAATAGATCGGGAAGTGAGCGAATACATACGGTCCCTCACCCACTTCTCGATCATGTCCATGCAGAGAGCCGTGGCTGTCACTCACGGCTCCCTGCAGGGATTCCTCCCCGCTCCGATCCTCCAGCGCTGACTGGCGAAACGGACGGGGGAGGTGGCGGGTACAGCTGGCTTTGCCTCTAGATAGGCAGAGCCAGCTGTCAATCACGCAGCTTGGTGGATCTCGACAGTAATGTAGGGATCTGTCCCGGCTGCCGCGGTCTCAGTATACCGTGAGCTGTAGCTCGCGATATACTGAGCTTTGGGTCACGGGAGGACGCTAGTATATGTCCTCCCATAACCCTTAGGAGAACAATGGGGAAAAGCACTGACCCCATAGTTCTCCTTTAAGTTGCTGAATAAACTTATTGTAGCTCTTTTTAAAAGAACGTCAACCCTGGATTTTTTGCAAAACAATGTTTTTGTTCAACTATTTTATTTAGGTACTTTTTTAACAAGTTAAACTGGGTTACTTACCATTTTCCCACTTTTCACTGATAGAGACATACATTCTGAAAGTGACAAATTTAGCAGTTGCATTACAGATGCTAACAGGTTCTAGAGAGCACAAAGCAAATGTTTTGGTATAAAAAATATATATATTTTGGTGTATAAAAAAAAAAAAAAGTGTTCTGTTCGAGGTTGAATCTTCCTTCCACAAAGCTCACTAAAAAAACATTGCATTTGGTTCAGTTTGGTAGTAGTGGCATTCCTCATTTATGCTTATAAAGAGATTAGTTTGGCAAAGTTTGATTGCCAGGCACAGCAGGTGACTCTTGCTGCTAGAGCCCCAGACGTAAGCACACAGGCGGCATGTCTTTTATAATGCCCATTTACAATGAAAAGAGATTTTCAGCATCAGTAAGACATTGCTTTAAAATAACCTTTACATATCGAGAAGGGAAAGTAATAAAATTAACAGATCATTTTTGTCTATAACTGATGGAATGATTTACACTGCAAGTATAGATCACAGCTTGTACATACACACTTAGCCCTAAAGGCAGAAACTGGATTCCAGTACTCGATACCAATCGTACTGAAAAGTATACAGTTGCCCACAAAACCCTGCGTGTATGCTAGATTTAATGAGGCAAGGGGTAATAAAAAATAAATAAATTGGCCTCCGGATTTAAAAAGTGCAAAGCGTTAGAAGTATAGTATACTTTGGGGGG